GCTAAACTGGATTATGGTTTTTGGTATTCCGACTCATCTTCGATCATTGGCCGTCATAAAGAGGATTGGAGAGTGTTGTGGATAATTCATCGACTATGAGTTAGGAGACTGGTCTGATCCGTGTGTTCTCATAAAGGTCCTGTTTAAGAATGATATTCCGGATAAGGTGTCGCTATTGTTCGGGACCACTCTATTCTTGGACCGGATCGTTGTCTCGCCGGACGTCGAAAGCTCAGTGGCAGACTCGAATAGAAGCCGACTGCTAAACAGGATACTGAAACGTCATTAGAATTTGAAAGTGGCAGAACCTCGTGAACCGCACGCGTCCTCGATTGGTGGTGCCGGGCTGTGCATGTTTTCTAAGTCTAAATCTAGGAATGTCAACAATCCCAAGCTTTTGTCTAGTGCGTTGGATAAAAATCCCAGAGGCGGGTCTCAGATTTGTTCGGGCAACCTAAAGCCCACAAAATATGTATGGATTCGCAAATTAGGCCCTAACCCGAAGCCCACCCCCTTAACCCGGCCTCTTTTGACCCTAAACCAACCCCAACCTCCCTCGAGCCCATCTCCACCCCTGTTAACCCCCCAACTTGCTCGGTCCTGATACCTCTTGCCGAGACTTCACTACCTCAACCTCCCTTGATACCCAACCCCTTCTTTGTTCTTAGTCACCTGAAAAATTACCACGAGTCGATGATCATCGACTCAGCCTTCTCGATCTTTTCTTCCTCCATCCCCCCTTCCATCAAGCTTTCCCTATCTGCCTTTTTACTTCCCCACCCCGACCCCAATTGCTTTTCTTCCTACCTCTCTACCTCCTCACCCAACCTTTCTCGTGTCTCCATTCTTCCTCGTCCATCCTATTACCCCCCCCCCCCCACTATCTCCCCACCGTCGATTCCCTTGAATTCTCACCACCTTCCCCAGAATCTGTTGGCGATTCCCTTGACTTTTCCCCACCTTTCCCAGAGTCCGATTCAATCTTCCTCGAATCATCTATCACTGCCACCCTTCTTCGAATCTGATAGAACCCCAGTGCCTCGCAATCGTCCCGTTTAATCCAATCAATTCGGAATACACCGCAACATGGCAGCCGATGAATCAACAGCACCGAGCGCCTGAGAGTAAATCTGCGCATGGGATTTAAGGCACGTTTCTTCCCGGTAGAGTTTAGCAAAGATGACATCGAGCTTAGTAATATTTCGATGAAGAATCGAAGCACGGACAGGCTCAAACTCACATCGCAGCTTCATCAGAAAAGTTATCGTGCGAGAACGAGTATGTTTAGCAATAGTCTGAGTTGTGGCGGGAGTCGCAGATAAAGAAGAAGATAAGAGATCATGCTTGGTCCACAAGTGCATCGCTTCCTGGTAGTAGGAGCAAACATCCTTATACCCCTGAGTTAAACCAGATAGAGAAAGTTCCAGCTCAAACTGTCGAGAGGCACAAGCCTGATAGTTTGTAAAGACCAGATGTTTCTAGCCAAGGCAAAGCGATAGAGACTCAAACCAGTAGGAACATCAACAACGCCAACTCGCCAAGCAGCCAGTGAATGATGTGATTATTGTTAGCCTCCCAATGAGCATAAGCCTTCTCATCGGATTTCGGAGGCGGAGCCTTCTTGCCCGTGAGGATGGGAAGAAGCCTTTTGCCTTGTACAAAGGTACAAAATTGAAATTCCAAGAGAGAGGAGTTCTTTCCATCAAACCTAGCCAGGTTTGCATCATGTTTCACAGACTCCATAGTACTCAGGCCAAGCACGAGAGACAACAGACACCAATACCCAACAAAGCAGCCAAGGAATACAAGAATTAATGAAAAAATCCCAGAATACTCTAATAATTTTAAAAAAAATCCCAAAATACAGTACTTATAAAAGTATTTCCCAAAGTACAACAGTTTATTCATCACTGTCTTTGTCAAATACAGTGATGCCAATCACCTTTTTAGACTAAAACAGTGATATCATCACCGCTTTTGACTTAAACAGTGATGCTATCACCGCTGAAGAGAAAAACGGGGAAAGGATCCCCGCTTTTGGAAAACGGGGCTATTCTGACCGTTGATGAGCAAAACGGTGAAGGACATTAACCGTTGATGCTGAAAACGGTGAAGTGGCACGGATCGCTGATGTGGACACGCGCGGGCACTTCACCGTTAATGACAACAGCGGTGATAGCCCCGCTATCCACGTCAGCGATCCTTGTCGTCCGCGCCATTCACTGTTCCTTGTGGTTTTTCTCCCTGATCCGACGCCTCACAACTCGCCACGTCAGAGATCCGGGCCATCACTGTCCTCGTCCAAAGCAGTGCCTTCACTATTTTTGAGGAAGGCGGTGATTGGGAAATACAAATTTCCAGTGCCAATCTCCCCTATAAATACCATTCCTCACCCTCATTCCAAACCACACCACCATTTAGACTTCTTTCTCCCTCCATTACTTCCTTCTAGTTTCGTTATAAGTATGCTATGTGGTTGCGGCTAAGTCCGATCTTCCACATCAGAAAGAATTACTAGAGTTTTTGTCGATACTCTCTCTAGCTTTTCGGCAAAAAATGGACTAAGAGGCTCTGAGAGTACTTAAATTTATTTTTTCTTTTGTGATTTTTTTTAAATGGGTGTTGAAATATAATTTGATTTGATTTCATATTTTTTTTTATAGATGGGTGCTGAGATATACGACCCTCGATTGTATATCGATCCTGGCCCAAGGGATCGAAGGTATTTAACCGGGCAAGATCAACATCAATCCCGTGCAATTTGGGACAATAATCCGGTAGACACTCCTCGTCGTTTTTTAAAATTATTTCACTAGTTTAAAAGTTTTTATTTCGCTTTCTATTGACTAACAACATTGTGTTTTTTGTTTTGTAGGAATTACTTATTCCCATCAGTCATCGAGGGACATGTCGATTGCCCCGTTGGCATGATCGACTAGCGCCCTATCTAGAGAGGACGGGATTGCACATGCTGAGGCACTTCATGAGGCTTCATATCGACAACGATCTGCTGACGGCAATAGCAGAGCGATGGCGCCCCGAGCTGCATACCTTCCACTTTCCCGAGGGGGAAATGACGATCACCCTCAAAGATGTTGCCATACTCACCGGGCTCCCGATCACCGGAGAGGCGATCATCGACAACTCGAGAAAACTGGAAGATGGTTGGGGCCGTTGATTCAAGAGCGTTTGGGGTTCAACATGCCGACCACAACGCCCGTCGAAGGGGTTGGGCATCCACCGCTGAATGCGGGGCAAGTATCGATCCCGTGGTTGAACACATCCAGTTGGAGGTTAATTTAGGCCCAGACACTCCTGAAGATCAGGTGGAGCGGTATGCACACGTCTACCTCATTGGCTTGGTTGGTGGATTTCTGTTCCCCGACAAGGCAAACCGATGGATACAAGGCATGTGGTTCCCAATGCTCCTCGGTGACTAGGACGAGATCGGGAGAAAGAGTTGGGGGTCGACCGTCTTGGCTGGGATCTACCGAGAGTTGTGTACTCGCTCAAGGTTGGGAGCGAAATAAGCTGGTGGTGCGATGTTCATACTCTAGCTCTGGACGTGGGAGCATCTTCCATTTTTGGCACTTCGAGACCCACGAGAATTCTGGTTGCCAAATGAGGAGCTACGATTTGTAGCAAATCCCCCATATGGTTTCAAGTAAGTAAGTTTAATTTAAGTTTAATTTATTTTAGGTATGCAATGCTAGTATTTTAGTGAATTTAGATATATTCCAAGTAAGCGAATTTAGATTAATTTTAAGTATGCGATTATAGTATTTTAGTGAATTTAGATATATTCCAAGTAAGCGAATTTAGATTCATTTTGAGTATGCAATTATAGTATTTTAGTGAATTTAGATATATTCCAAGTAAGCGAATTTAGATTCATTTTAAGTATGCAATTATAGTATTTTAGTGAATTTAGATATATTCCAAGTAAGCGAATTTAGATTCATTATAAGTATGCAATTATAGTATTTTAGTGAACTTAGATATATTCCAAGTAAATAAATTTAGTTCAACTTAGATGCTTCCATAAAATCATACTTTTCAAGTAAACATCTATACTTTAAAAATATCTTATATACGTACTTTTTCTTAATTAGGTGGATCAGAGCAAATACAAACGACCACCAGCCCGAGCACTCTTTACTGTTTTATCATGCTGAATTTGATAAGCCTTTATGGAACCAGGTAAAAATATAAAATTTCATCATTGTGCTGAATTAAGGAATATAATCACAGCAGCCACAACAAAATAAAACTAGGGTAGCGGACCACCAAACCCAATGAAAAGGAAACCTGCCAGGAACCTAATAGAGCAATGCAGCCAAGAGAACTAGTCCAGTTGTAGCAACAAAACAACCAATCGAGAAGCGAGAAAGTAGCGGAATACCTAAATTAAATCCCCGAAAGCAGTCGAGACCCGAGAGGACAACGAGAGCAGCCGAAAGGAAACAACAGCCGAGAAAGAAAAAAAAATGAGAGCAGCCGAGAGAATTCCCGAAACAGCAGAAATCCGAGAGTAGCCGAGAATCAAATGTTGCCGAGAACCTTAGACAAGAAGCGTTGCCATTAGAGGTGGCAATTGGATCGGATTCGTAGATTGGATTCAAGTGGATTGGATTGAAATGGATTCGTGGATTCGTGGATTGGATTCACGAGTTTTCCGGCTCCATCGCCAGCCAGATCCCGGCGCTGATGATGGGAATGGACAGCAGCATCTTGGTTCGCTTAGCGCTGATCACATTGTTGCGTAGCGCCATCTTGGTTCGCTCTTTTTTAGGATTTAGTGGAGGAATGTTGTTTCACGGTAAGGGAGGGGATTAGTAAAGGGCGAAAGAGTAAAGGCGTTCCATGTCTGGTTTAATTGGGGCCAATAAACCAACAAACATTTCAAGGGATTCCCTTCTGTACAGTCATTGATTGAATCCCCACTTCAGTGTCTACAAAGAAAGTGGTTTACATGGTCATGTACTGACGATTCGAAGAACTTAGTGCATTTTTCCCCTGTTCTGGAGCAAGAGAGGCTGCTTCCCTGTTGCTAAATGATGAATGTGGATTCGAAGAACATCCAATGGTTGTTTGCGCTTGAGCCTCTTATCATCCAGATATTCATCTAATTGTGTTCTATCGCCTAAGAATTGATTTTCTCCAAATGAATCAAACTCCTATTAAACAAATAGCTCATATTAGTAACCAAAATGGATTAAGGGAAAGAAAAAATTAAGAAGCTTACTTACATCCATATCATGACAATAGTCCACATCTTCAGTAATATCCTCAGCAAGTGATGAAGATTGACCAGCAGGATCATCATACACCTTTAGTAGATCACATATCTTTCCTCTCAGCTCAGAACACTCTGCTTTAGCAACTTCTTTATCCCCGTACAACTTCTCATAACAAAAATACACAGAATCCAACTTGAAACGTGGATCAAAAACCACTGCCATAGAGAGAATCGTACTATAGGAGTCCCAGTACTTATCGAATTTTTTCTTCATTGCTAAACCCATATTGCGAATATCACTCTCCATACTCCTAGATGCCTCCATCAACCGCATCTGAATCCTCCATACGTTGCAGAAGTACAAGTTTGAAGTAGGATAATGAACTCCAGAAAATAGGTTTGTGATGCCATTAAACGGTTTCAAAATCCTCTTAATTTTTTGTGATCTTATCCCATTCCACATCTGATGAAAATCGATCAAAGTTTCTATCAACCAACTTCAAATGCTGAAAAGCACGACGATAGAGCTCAGCTCTTTCAAGCATCATGTATGTTGAGTTCCATCTAGTCGGACAATCTAACCACAACCCTTTCGAGCTTAAACAGTTGCTTCTTTTGGCACAATCTTCAAAGACAATCATTCGAGATCCAGAACCTTTGACATATTTCACCCACTCCCTAACGGATATGAAAATAATTCCCATCACATACCAAACCATCATCCTATTTCAATTGATCAATCAACAAACTTTGCATAACATCATTGCATCTAGCATTATCCAATGTTATTGAAAAAATCTTCTTCTCAATTTGCCACTCTTTCAACAGATCATACACAACATGAAACAAAACTACTGCACTATGTGGAGGGGGAATATGACAGAAATTCAAGATCTTAGTAGTTAACCTCCATTCAGAATCCACATAGTGAACTGTAAGACAAAGATATCCTTCTGTAGCACAAAAAGTCAACAAATCACAAGTCAAACAAAGTCTGCCAGGAACCTCGCTCAAGATAGTCTTCAAACAATGAGACTTAGCAGAGTTCTTAGTAAATGACTTAAAATTATCATTCAAGTAGGACATCACATTCTGAAGTCCACCATGCTCAACTATAGCAAATTCATACCCATGTTTTATGATAGCCATAGCCATTAGCTCCTTAAATTTATTTTGATCTATTGCTTTCGAGTTTCCAACACCCAACACTGGCACTTCAGTTGCATGTCCAATACAATTATGGCTATGACGAATGAGATAAAAAATACCTTTATTTGCCACATAAAGCATGGGACAATTTTTGCATTGAGCTCTTGATTTGTTGTTTGCAAATTGGTTCCCAGGGATATAATTAAATGTCTCCCATGCCTTAGAAGTTCTTTGCCGCTTTTTTTGCCCACTTGTTCGACCCGTAGAAGTTGACACAGTTGCCTGTAACATTTTTTTGCCCACTTATCCTCATCTTCTGAACTACCACCATCAACGTTGCCTGTAACATTTATTTGTTGACTTGTCATCCCGAAATAGAATCAAAGATCCCAATAGAACAAAGCATTGTCATCTAGGGGTGTCAGTCGGTCGGTTTTGGTTTAACCAAAAACCAAATTCTCAGTTATCGGTTAAACCAAGTGACCACCCCCGACTACCGACCACCGACCGTGGGAGATACAGTGGCTAGCCGACCACCAACCGGTCGGTTAGCCGCATGCCCGAAAACCACACCCTAATCTAAAAAAAAATTAAAAAAAATCCAAAAATCCTCCCACCACTCATTCTTTATCTCCTCCATCCTTCTCTCTCCTTAAACTTTTTCCATTCAAACCCTCCACCACCACTTACTGATTATCTCCTCCGTCTCTCTCCTCCATCTTTCTATCTCCTTTCTTTTTCCACTCAAGAAGCAGCCGAGAAGGCGGGCTTGCCGCCGACGGGAGACGGAGGAGCGACCTCGCGAAGCCGGCGGAGGGAGATGGCGTTCGCGCGGCGGCTGGAGGCGGCAGGAGACGGCAGGCGGAGCGGCGTGGCGGGTGGAGGCTGCCTACTTGCTTGCATGTCGTGACGGTTGGAGCGGAGGAGACGGCGGGGTGAGGCTTCCTGCTTGCTTGCATTTCGCGACGGTTGGAGGCGGAGGAGACGGCGGGGTGGCTGGAGGAGGGGCGGAAGGGTGGCCGGTGAACTGGTGAAGGGCGGCGAAGGCGAGGGTGGTCGTTGGATGCGCGAGAAAGGGGTGAGGTGGGGTGGGTGGTGGCTGCCTACAACCCCTATTAGTCATCACTTTGAGATTATGGTATTGGTCTCATACATATAGACATACAGCCAATGATACCCAATAGAACAGAGCATGCTATGGCAATGGAGAATGAAACAGTTCCAACTTCCAACCCACTAAGCACTTTGATACCTAATAGAGGATCAACTCTGTTGATGCATTAGATGGTCAAATAGCCATATCAAACAGAGGGAAAGGAGTAATCAGTGCTGCTACAGCAAAATCAAGTCTCATTTGCAATATTTTCTTATAATCAGGATACTATTAGTGAATCAGATATATTAAGCATTCATGCGAATAGATAAGGTGAATAATCCAAAAACATAACAAAGGAAAGAAAATTGGGCTTAGCTGTTTCACAGACTTCAGTTGCAGAAGTTGAGAACATATCTAATTTGTTACAATCTTATTGCAGTTTGTAACGAATACCACAGTCATCCTAAAACTAATTATTTTGGTAAGATCCTAAACCTCTTAGACTGATCATCGCTCCAAGAATATGCCTGGTTCTTCTCTTGGATCTTTCTTATGAAACTTGAAGCCCTTTCATCGATATTGTCTTCATCATCTCGACTACTGCTCCTCCTACCCTTTCCATGCGTTACCTGAGCATGAGACCCAGATGACGATAGTTGATCTTGATCGCCAGCGACAGCGTTCGGACGCCGTGGAGCGGCAGCAAGCGCCGGTGCCAGCGGCAGTTTCTGAGTCTAAACCCCTCACAAATCACAATCCGTCCCACCTCCAGAGAAATCTCCAAGACCCTAAAGTCTAAACCCCTCACAATCCGTTCGAACAGAAGAGAGAAAGAGGGTTTGACGAAGGTGACTGGGGGAAGAAGGAGAAGAATGATGAAGAGATTCAATTAAAAAACTACCTGTTGAACCTTGAGACGTTGGAGCTGAGTAGTGACGAACAAAGTTTCTTCAATCATTTGGGAGAATGGAGTAATTGACCGGAGCTGGACGAGAAATGGAGAGAGGGAGAGGGAGGCGGTGAAGACGCCGCCGAAAGAACCCTTGTAGGAGACGAGGTTGTTTGAAGCAGACAAGGTTGTGGTGGGTTATGGGAGAGTTTCCGACTCTATCTTCGTTCAGAGGGTAATTGGATTGGTGGATTGCTAATGGATCCATGAATCCAATCCATCAACCCATGGACTAAATGGACTTGGATCAATTTAAATGGACTTGGATCCAATTTAAATGGATTGGACTGGACTGGATTGATGGATTGGATTAGGTTTGCCGCCTCTAGTTGCCATGATAAGAAAACAAAAGTAACGAACACAAAGGTCGGATTTTACGTGATTTCTCAGAGAATCAGAACTATTACACGGGAGATGTAGAACTCTCCACAATAAATTTTATTGAACTTAGTTTTACCGTATACACAATGGAGATATATATAGTTAGGTTACGGTTGCCGTGTAACCCTAATCTACTTAGCTTAGTAACTGACGTAATAGAGGTATAATTACTATAAGCTACCCAAACTAAGTAAATGTATATTTGCAACAACCAAATCATTTTGTCTTGGGGTTAATAGCATGATTTGCCCCTCTACTATTACATTTTCTCAAACTTGCCCCTCTATTATTTTTCTCGCTTGCCCTTCTAATATGATAAATTCTCAAACATACCTCTTTGTCATGTTTTCCATCCAAAACCATTAAATTTGATCAAAATGCACTTTGACCAGCTTAAAAAGTCCAAAATACCCTAAAATGCCAAAACCATTACTCATCATCGTCTTCTACCAGCAGTAACTCCAAACACCGCCGCCGACTCCAGTCGTCTTAAATTTATCAACCAATTACACACATTCCCAAGTTCGAAATCACAGATAATCAAAATTCCCATGGCGAGTTTTGCGACTGAGTTTAGTCCGCTCTCCGCAGATTGGATTCCGGGACCTCAAATCGAGAAGCTCTATCAACCATAACAGTAGCTTCTATCAGAGAAGAATTCAGAACATTTGAATTCTTCTCAATCCCGCCTTCCAGACGACGACGTTCAGCCAACGGGCAAAAGCCAGCATCCCGACGACGGCGTTTCGATAAGTCAACCAAGACCGCGCAGGACCTGGAGCGACATCGTTTCAGGGAAAAACAAGACGAGATAGACATTTACACTTTTAGTCCCTGATCTTCTATTTTTCATCATTTTACCCGTTTCGGGTTGTACTTGCAGTTGAAGCAACCTTGTCTTCTTCTACATTTCTGTACCTCACTTGTACTACTGTAAACAGCTATATAAGCTGAAAACTACATTGAGACAATCCAAGTTTTAGGGTTTCCAACACAAAAGCGTTGTTATGGTATCAGAGCCTGGTTCCCTTGAACCCTAGGCGCCGTCACAATAATGGCTGATGTGAACATGAGCACTGATGGAGCAGATGCAGTAGCCAACAACAATGCTGCTCATACCACCACACTTCAGGATCCGATGGCAGATCCATACTACCTACATGGCTCTGAACAACCAGGGCAAGTTCTGGTGGTGGAGAAACTCACCACTACCAACTATAACGATTGGAACAAAGCGATGTACAATGCACTAAGAGCCAAGAACAAGATCGGGTTCATCAATGTCACTCTGGCTGAACCAGCAGCAGACAATCCACAAGCCTGGTCTTGGAACAGGAACAACATCATGGTCCTGTCTTGGATCCAACAATCATATCTTTCAAGATAGCTGCAGAAGCCTGGAGAAGCTTAAGAGCTAGATATGGACAAGGGGACATGGTGAGGATAGCAGAGCTGATAGAGGCCCTAGCCACCATGAAACAAGGTAACCAAACCCTAACTGAGTACTATGGTGAGATGATTGCTGTGAGGGATGAGCTTGACAACTACCAGCCTTTAGATCCTTGTGACTATACTCCCACCAGCCACTCCACATGTAGGGCTATGAGACAGGTCATAGGTTACAGGGACACTGGCTATGTCATTCAGT